CCTTTTTTTTTTTTTATCGAAATAAATTATAATAATATAATAATGAATAATGATTATACAATTATTATTAAACCCTCTCGAAACGTTTTATGCAAAAATAATTGCGTTCCTATGGTATTTCTGTGCGGTGTGGTTGAAAATTCGTGTACGCAAAACTTTCATCGAAAATTGATATGCAATTTTTTTTTTTTGTGTAGCGCTAAATGTCTATAGTTGTCTATTTTTGTCGTTTAACTGTATAACAAGGCTGCGCCGGTCATTCAATAAAACTAATTTTGTTCATATTCTATAAGTTAATATAAGAACAATTGATTTTAAATATAAGCATATAGGTAATCTGCATTGAACATGTTAAAGATCTATTATTTTTAATTAGACTCAGTTAAATTTAAATTCGATTTGAAAATCGTCTTTTGTCTCCTTTAAAATTACTATCCCATCAATAAAAATAATCTAAAAATTGTACACAGGCTGATCGACCAACGCACGCGACGTCACATAGTTTGTAGTGTGCAAACTCCCGGAAATTCTCCGAAATATTCTTGATATCGCGAATTTATTGGGAATGTTGTAATTTGTATACTTACCTATTGTTCATTGTTCATCATATTATGTTTCAATATTTAATTTATCTTATAGTCATAAATTTTCCGAATGATTAATAATATTTTTAAATATCGGTTATAAGTGTAAAACATAGAACATCTGAAATATATTTTTTACTAAATAGTAAAAAAAAATTATATAATACTGATTTTAGTGAAGAATGTATTGGGTTTTACAAAGATGTTTAATGTTTTTTTTTTTATGTGAACATTTTTTCTACCAGAAGCTTACCCCGACTATCAAGTATAGCACCTTTTCTAAAAGGAAATATTCTCTGGGTGGTACTTTATAGAAGTAATTTTTGAAATTCTCATAAATATTCAAGATAATCAGGAAAATCTGGTTCTTTAGGTTAAAAAAGATTAAAAGATCAAAAATAAATTTGTCATTGGCAACCGTTTATATTTACTTTTTGTTAATATGTAGTTTTTATTATTTTAATATTTTTTAAACAATCATTGTTATCATGGGAACGCACATTATTGCAATCATTTTACCATGATATGACATAAATATTGTTGACAAAGCAACACTATCAACTGAACTCCATTCAGAATCGATTTTCGTTAGCGAATTGTTTATCGTTGCCTACAGAATCTCATAATACAATAAATTCCCGTCTGTATCATATCTTCCCGACTTTCCAACTACAATAGTGGCTGCAGCCAAGTGCGAAGTATGTCCGTCCTTTTAATTAATTTTTGTTTTTGTTTTAAATTTGTTTTTAATTCATCCGTGTTACTATGGTAATCCATAATTCAGCAGAAATAATTAAATATTTTAACCTAAAAATCTTTCATCCCCTATTTCATCTCTTTCAAGTTTTATTCTCGTGACAAAAAGCAGCTTATGTTTGTCTCCGAGGTCACATCTATCTCTACACCGAAATTCATCGAAATCCGTTCAGTAGTTTTTGCGTGAAAGAGTAGCGCACATCCGTCCATACATTCTCACAAACTTTCACATTTATACTAATGTTAAGTAGGATGTTCATTCATTGAAGACATATCATTAATGATGCGCATTCATTAAAGCAATTTTAATAAGAAATCCCGACCGACCAGCGGACCAGACGAATATCGAGTAACTATCGATAAACTATAATGGTATCAAGATACAAGTGAAAATATTATTGGTATTATTGTGCCATGTTACTTTTTGTAAAATAAAACGAAAACCCGCCTGTTTAAAATTGTGTTGCCTACTATTGTATACAAGTGACTGCAGAAGTATTAGCGTCGGGACATTTTTTAATTGGTAATGATGATAATAATTATACGATTTTTTTTTTTTTTTTTTTACGCGTGCGGCACTGCTGCGTCGGAGACTTCCACGGGCCGCCACTGAACAGAATCGATATTATACACGCACATAATATAGCCCATTAGGTTAGAACCGTCTGGTTAACCTGCGACCCGTATACAGTAATAACCTAATAGGGTATATTATTATTATTATTATTATTATACTTTACTTATACACTGTACAGCACGGACATGAAATACTTTCGGTTCGCGTCTTTCCGTAGCGTAATATACCTGTTACAATAGTATAATAGGTATGCGCGGACCGACCGACCGAGCGCATCACAACACTCGAATAATAACCCTCCCCCCATCGCCCCCGCCCCCGCCCCCGTATACCACGGTATAATATATGTTGTATGTACTGCCGAATATTATGTAGTATGTAGTACACTTTGCCTGACCCCCGACGACTCCTTCGCCCTGGGTATCGGATCGTGGGTATTAACGACGTTACGGTAGCCGCGTTATACACCGAGATATATCAACGGATAGCCTCGGAGTATATTATGATAATACAACCGGGTCGGTATGCAAATATTCATAATTCACTGAATGAAATATTACGAGTAACGTTAACCAAGCAATTTCAAATAAAGTAAATGAATACATAAATAAAAAATGTACGCGTAAAAATAAAATAAATAAATAAATCAATGCGTCGTCCGGAGAATTATGATAAGTATTGCATTATACGACTGGTTTCGAAAATTAAAAAATCGCCATCGTATTTATCACAGTCAAAATGTAAAACGTGACTGTCCATTCTGACTCTGATACACCTGATGATGAATTTTTTATTTATATATTTATTTACGAGTAGTATTAACCGTTTTAATAATTTCGTTTTTAATTTATTATTTTATTAAAGTGATTTTGCTATTGTTTAACTTGTTAAAATTACCAATTTATCATTGAAATGGAACAAATATTGTTAAACTTACAACATAGCAAAATATTTAACTATTATTTTGTAAAATCAACAATGATTCTTTCTGTTATTTTGACAAGGTATTGCTATTCAACAATTAACGTTTTGTTCCTAATGGCAATGTTTATTTGTTGATAGAAAATAAAGCATTGTGGTTATAAATATAATAAGATTGAAACGACAAAATAATTATGTTATTTCAAAATATATAATTGTTAACTTACAGTTGGTTTCTAAATACAATAAGAAATTTATTTAAACCCATTTATACAAAACCCAGTTTTTAACGGATTACATTGCAATTCAAGATGACCGTATCCTACTCTAATGTAGGTACTATATTTTACAACGATAAGTGTTTATGAATTGTGCAACATTTATTTTCGTTTTTGTTAATATTTCCATTGGTATTTTGGTTGTCCCATTGTCAACACGGAACACAAAAGGTATGTACAGTATTAATTATTAATTTTTCTGTAAATTGTATGCAATAGGTACCTATGTTAAGTTTATTCCTACATACAATGTGTACAATATTTTAATAGTTTTTAAAGCTTGATGTTTTTTCTTATAGAAGCAGAAGATAACACAGATAACATGTTAAACAGTCTTAATATGAAAACTGTAATTTCAATGAGATTTAAGCCGTTCGTAAATCGTCTGTTAGTTATCGTTTCAACAGTATAAGACAAAGCCAAAATACAACTGGGATAGATGAAATAGTTATAAACTACTTGCAGGTAGAGATTGTTATGTTTTTATCTTCTCCATGCACTGTTTGTACCTACATATGAAAAATATACGCCCGATGATAAAGAACGAAAACCATTGCTGAAATATTCAATACGAGATTCACAACTAAAGTTGAAGAATTTATTTCTAAAAAATAGGTAATTTAATTTTTTATTACTTATAGAAATTTAATTGAGTTATTATGAAGTAAATACGTTTTATTGTCATGTTGATATATTTCACTAAAAGTAAATTATTTAAAATGATTAAAATAAAAATAATCACCCATATAAAAAAAAAATTAAGTACAAAAACTTATATTTAGGTAATATCATTAATATAAATACATACACATTTATAGTATATCAGATTTAATATGTATACATTTATATGTATTTATTATTGTACCATACTATCTTGACTATTTAGACATGATTATTATTATGAAGAAAAGATTTTTTAAAAATGAGAACTTATATAAATTTTAATTTCTCCAGGCTTAGAAAGTCCAACAAAACCAATCATCATAATAACACACAAATACACAAAAAACAAAAAACTTTGAACTATCAAATAACTTTTTAGTATTTAAATATGAGTTCAATAAATGTGATAATAATTCAAGAGGGCCTGAGGTCGTTCACTGTGAGTGGAGAACAAAATACATGTTTTAATTGACCAACGTTTAGTTATAATAATTACGTAAATAAAAATTTAATAATTGGGAGGCGATCACCCTATCACCTACTTCTTTCCACCAGGGGAGCATTTTTAATATTATAGTGATAAATTTACAATGTACCACAAGAAGCAGTAGATGCCTGGAGACGTTATCACCAAGAGTTATCAGACTCGTCGTCATTTCGAGTTCCCCGTCGGGTGACCGGAGAAAATGTCAAATATGAGATGCACTGATTTTCTGATAGTTCCGAAGCAGCATATGCAGCTGTAGTATATTTACACGTTATAGCATCCAACAACACGGCAAAATGTTTCTTGTTGTAAATCGAAAATCGCCCCATTAAAACGCATCATGATTTCAAGATTGGAGCTTTGTGATGCATGGTTATTAACTCGAATATTACATATTGTGCGCCAAAACTTAAATAGAATCAATATTGAAAGAGTGATAGCCTGGTCTGATTCTACAGTGGCCTTGGAATGGATAGTGTTACAAACCGCTCAAATTGAAGGCATTCGTAGCAAATAGCGTTGCACAAATACTGCAAATAAAACATTTTCGTTACTAACCAACGAAAATCTTGTTGTTATTATAATCGTATTATAATATCAATATACTGAAATAATATATAATCCGACGAATAAAAAAACGATTGTGAAACAGAAAATAATTATTTTTTGTACACACTCGATAATACTTTCGTCAAACCGCAACAAAGCTGAGTAAGAGTTCAGGAAAAGATACGATGACTGACGCGTTGACATTCACCGTGAACGCAGATCGCGTCGGTTTCGATTTCGCCGAACATTATTATGCCGTGATGCGGACAACACCGGAATACGCAAACCAGTTTTACGACGATTTTGGGGAGTACCGGACAATCTATGAAGACGGGACAGGGGTCGTGGCCAGAAACCGATTGGAGATGAAAGAGGTTCTGTTGCGACCCAAGTCCGCGCCTGAGTTAACAGTTAACTCCATTATTTCGGTACCCTGTGGAGGATCGCTAGACCGACTGCTGGTCACAGTGACTGGCGATTGTTTTACGCATGTTTTCGTGGCGGAGAAACGTCCAGAACGTCTGCTAACTTACGCCATTGTGGCGTCTGTAACTCAACATCTTTCTGCCGGAGCAGCCGCTGACCGGTCGACAATAGCAAGAACGTTCGCTGCAGGTGACTTTTGTGCAGACACTGGCGCTGATGACACACCGACCGCTGGTTTAAAAGCGCAGGAACACGTAAGATTATCCAAAAATAGAGCCACTTCTTACGAACCCCTTCCTGATACTGTCACCGATAACGGGCAACCCGATATCACTGATGAAAACCCGCTGCTGAGAATCCTAAACATACCCAATCCCGCCGAATACACAATTCATAGTGAATCTCTTCCTGATACCTTAACAGAAAACATTCCGATCGCAGGTGTTAAAGCAAAGAAACAAGTACGATTTGCCCAAAATATAGCCACTTACTACGAACCTCTTGTCGATACCGTCAACGATATAGTGCAACCCGATATCACAGATGATAACCTGATGCTCGAAATGTTAAAGGACATATTTCTTCACACACCTCCTCCTGAAATCGAAACCTCCTACAAACTTTCGTCTCCGGATTACGTCACAGAAAACATGCCGCTCAGCATTTTAAATCACATTTTTCTCAACATACCTCCTCCTAAAATCGAGACTTTCCGCGAACTCATCCCTCCAAATACTGCCACCAGTAATTTAAATATCAATTTGGCCGAAATAAATCCACCTAGAATCTTAACCCGCATATCCTATCACTCCAAAATCACCACTTATCCCCAACCATTTCAAAACACCGTTAGATACCAAGTTCCCTTCAGNACATACCCGATCCCGCCGAATACACAATCGAAAACATTCCGATCACGGATGTAAAAGCAAAGAAACAAGTACGATTTGCCCAAAATATAGCCACTTACTACGAACCTCTTGTCGATACCGTCAACGATATAGTGCAACCCGATATCACAGATGATAACCTGATGCTCGAAATGTTAAAGGACATATTTCTTCACACACCTCCTCCTGAAATCGAAACCTCCTACAAACTTTCGTCTCCGGATTACGTCACAGAAAACATGCCGCTCAGCATTTTAAATCACATTTTTCTCAACATACCTCCTCCTAAAATCGAGACTTTCCGCGAACTCATCCCTCCAAATACTGCCACCAGTAATTTAAATATCAATTTGGCCGAAATAAATCCACCTAGAATCTTAACCCGCATATCCTATCACTCCAAAATCACCACTTATCCCCAACCATTTCAAAACACCGTTAGATACCAAGTTCCCTTCAGCGTATTTCAGCCGTTGAGAAACGTACCTATGCAAATAGGACCAATGATTACACAACCGAATTTTCTATTTACTGTCAATGGTGGGGCGCACCAACTATGGGTGAACCCTTATATTCAGCCTCGAAATTTCCATTTACCACCAAGCGTGCACCGCACTAATAACGTGTGTATACCGACAATACGTCGGGGATGAATGATACAAAAACAACATAACAAAATGCGGATGACTCTTGTTTTGTTTTTTGATATAAAATGTGTATAATTGTACTATTTTGTATTGTACATTACAAAAAAACGGTTCGCATTTATTCAATGCTAAAGTATGTATAATTTTTAACTTATGAAAAATACAAATTGTTTTTTCATTTGTTAAAATACTATGTGTTTGTTTATTATTTAAATGCATGCAATTTAAATTGAATGCTTTGCAAATTTAAAAAGAATCCCAATTTGTATTGGGTTCTAATAAACTCAAACCCATTTAAACTTGAGCCCAAAATCTGTTTTATATATATATTCTGTTATTAATCTGTTATTTTATGATTATAAAATCTGTTTTATACGTGTTTTGCTTAACAAATAATTCAATTAGGTGCCGAAATCTTTCTTTTGCCCATTAGATTCGTTATATTTACTCAGTTCATCCAGTTATAAATGTGTCATAAGTTGGTAGATTATCTGTGTCGGATTTATTCCGAGGTTATAACTGAGTTCACCGTAATCTTCTGTATCAAATTATTCTATTAGTTTAACTTTCTGACTTATGTTTTATGTCTTCTTTCTGACTTTCTGTTCAGTTCCTGTTTGTTGATTGGATTTTTTAATTGGTTCATGAAAAACAATGTCCCTGGCTGTGACTATTCTTCTTTTTTCAGATAACCTTATTCTGCACCCGTTATGTGTATGTTCAATTCTTTTCCTTCGAGTTTTGTTGTATAATTTGGTTCTCTAATCTTTTTGAATGTGTACAAATTCATCCAAACTGAAAACTTTATTATATTCAATATATTTTCTTTGTCCTGAACCGAAAACTTAGTTATATTCAATATATTTTCTTTGTCCGGTTTTTTGTTCCTAGTTACCGAAATTCTCGATACCGGACGCTAAATGTCTGTTTTCATGTTCCACGCCATCTACCATTCGTGAGCGGCCTTATCTCGGCCCGTCACCCGAGAACACAGGTTTTCGCTCCGCTACTCGTTTATTTACCTTACAGTTTTTTTTGCGCACCACCTCAAAAGGGCTGTACGGATAAAAATGTGTAAAAATGAATTCAATTTTGTCACATAATATAGTGTATTCTAAGACTACCTATGACACACGTTACGTGTGTCTCCGCGTGTCTGAATCGTGGCCGATTCGCCGGAAGCACTCTAATGCCGCCCGGTCGCACGCGTTTGGGCCGTGTACACATGGCCTGTCACGAGGTGAAAACACCGATCACGAGAAGCACGGATGTACAAAAATTTCTCTATGTTTGTGTGGCTGAGCGTCAAGGCGGTTCATTTGAAGCTGCCGACGTCTAATCGAACTGCGAGGTTAACCTCATCGGCGTTAACCGACGGCTCCGTCAGCCAGCAAATAGCACCACGACGCAGGATTTTATCACCACCACGTACGTTATCTCGTACGGGGCATTTTTACCCTCCCAGCACTCCGCATTTTAACAGATTGTGGTAACCGGCAGTTCGGTCGGTGAAGTATTTTTCGGTCCGTATCTTAGGTGCACGCCCACTTTCGCCTAATAAGAACTTGCGACGGTGTTGTGCCACATAGAGGCGGTACCCAATTCTCGACAGCTAACTTCGGTATCAACCGACCTGCATGACTATGATGAAGTTATTAATTTAAGCTAACCTAGAAGAAGTCTGTACGAGGACCAAAAAAACAGATGTTTTTTTTTTTTGTTATTGTGGTTATTGAACACTATTGCGCTTTTTTTCTTATCTACGATGATTTTTATGAAATTTCTTTTATTAACGACATTATACGAAGTATATTGATATTTTGAGGTGGCACATTCCTGTGGTGGACATTATGTCCACCACAGTTTAGTATGGGTTATATAGTTCATCAGTCCTGAATCGTCTATCCTCAATTCTGAGTTATAAGCCTCTATATTGTGCTACTCGTGATATTTAAGGTAAGATGATTTTTTAAATCATAAAGAAAGGCCTTAGTATACAATGAAATGTTTTAAAATATCAGCCCTCTTTAAAATTATAAAATATTTCCACCTGTGAATATACTCCTCGCTATGCTCAGAATCTAAATTATAAGATAATTAGTAATGATGGTCGTATTAATTTTTCTCTAGTTTATTTACATAATATTCGTGTATATATGACATCACGTTTAAATATTGTTATCTTCAAATGCGAATACGTTAAAATACGATTCAGAAACAATCACAACGATATTATAATAAACATGCGTTAAGCGCGCTAAAACATTATGATAATAATACATAATAACGGCCGTTCAATGTCACCGCGAACAGGAAGTACGAGTAGTTTTATGAATCAAACTCAAGTGCAGCGCATACGTTCGCTTGTTTGGTAAGGGCCAAATGTGTACACAATATTATAATACGTGAGAAATTACATGGCTAAACATATTGCGTTTGCGCGGTTATTTAAGAAAACAGACGTGACAAAAATTGGCGGCAATGAAAATACTACTACTGTTTAAGATCTTTTGACCTATGTAAAGGATATATTTATAATATAACCGGATTGTGGAGACTATGGAAAACCAGAGAGTTTCAGAATAAAATCTTGGTGCAAGAAGGGCCAATGTCACTTATTGTGATTGTTTGGAAATGAGCTTTAAATTTGTAATTTCCCATAAGGCTCCGTGTCTTTTATTAAACGTAAATGTTTGTATAATTTTCAATTTATTACAAAAACCTAAACAATTTCCATTTAGAAAATAAACAATTGTGTACATACTTTTTTTCCTTTTTTACTCTGACTGATTTTTTCAAAAAATTGACATTGGTCCTTCTTAAACCAAGCCACAGATATATGTTAGTAATGATTTTCCGTTCTACCTGCTGAGATTGAAAAATATAAAATATTACCGGACATAACCGCGGGGCTTAATATCACATTACACTATACAGCGTATATATCGGCGTTCAACGAAAAGGGCAGTAACTCAATTCATCCGATTGTCTCGGAGAGCCGATCAAAGATCCGCATTATGCAGCGCCGCCGGCGTATTCGTAATAAACAGCCGCGTAAATTATTGTAATCGTATTTTTAAACAGACTAAAAGTGACCGTCTCCTAAAACTGTGACGACGCGCTAATATAACGAAAATGCTAATATACATTTTGAACGACCGATTTGTTGGTACGATGCGAATCTCTTAAATTATTATGTGTCCGGATTTGACGAGACAGCAAATAAAAATATGTTAAAAACGCTGTCCTGCCGTTGAGAACGAATGGCGAAGTTCAATGAATAATTCTGTTGTATACAGTACAATACTATTGGAAAATGTCTATAACTACGCGTGTGTGAAATCACTGAACCGTATACACGGAACTACGGCTATGCCTACATGCTGTGTTAAACGCCCTTAACACTTAATGTCCAAATTGTTTTAAAATTATAAACATATTTTTCATTTATTGATACATTTTAGTGAATGTCTAATAAATTAAAAAATAATAATAATAACGATTGTCTACAGTTATCACGTGTATTGACGACATTCTGTAAAAACAACGTACCGAAATAAAAAGCCATTTTTCAATATTTAAAATCGCCGTATTTTTTTTCTATTAATCCTAACAACCAAACGGATCTTTCGAAAAAAATCCCCTATAATATAGTTTATAACCAGGGCTGTAAGGAGCGCGCACTAAAACTAAGGTCTAGCCTGAGCTGCGTACTGAACGGCTCACGTATAATGTGTATAATGATTAATTGAAGCACACCTATAACGCCACACAACAGTAATTGTTTCGATTTCACAAATCAGTTCACGTTATCACGATGGTAAATAATGGTTATGCCCGCCTATTATGAATTTCAACGTTTTACATTCTGAGCGGTTCAAGGGAGCTATTGAAAATGTACAATGAGAGGTTTTGTTTTACAATTGTCGTACTTAATACAGGTATACAAATTAGTATTGCACTGTGCAAATAATCGTATGCCTATAATTATTTAATTTTACGACGCATATATATATTTTTTAACTTTTCGTGCATATATTAGGTTTCTTTGGTGCACTATATTTACTTTATTTATAGCGATAATATTTTGATTATTCATTTTTCTTTCGTTTTGTATAAAAAAAAAAAAAATCCTATACATAGATTTTTTAAAAAGATATCGAAGGTTATTAATCAGCAATATTCTCTTGGCTATATGTAATAAATTAATACATAACTTTAACAATAGTATAAAACAAAATAAAAAAATCTATTTGAGTAAGTAACTCTTATCAACCTGATCAATATGGGGACACCAGTGAGCTCTATATTCAATTCAGTCATAGCTGTCTAGTATTTATTTATTCTAATTTTTTTTTTTTTTTAGTAATAATAATATAAGTTATTTAACTAAAGTGTTAAAGGACAAGTGAGGTTTTTTTTTTCTAAAACCTTAAAGTTTATCATTAATTTCGAGGTGTGGTTCGAAAAAAAAAACAATATAATTTGATATTTTGATTGATAAAAAAAAAAAAAAAACGTATTGATTATTTACTATAAGTAAAAAGTTGCGAATACTTAATATCTTATTATTATTATGTTATTAAATGTAAATATTTATATCCTTCGGTCGTAATCTTCTCAATAATTACGCCTTTTTTTCTGATGTTGATAGAATTAAAAACCTTGTATTAATTTTTTTATTTTTAAATTAAACATACACATTTGACGTTTATCACTATTATAATAGTTTTATTATAATGCGTTACAGTAATGTATGGTAGTATAATAATTATACTTAGTGAAATTATAATATTTTTTAAATCGTAAACAGCTTGTGTATTTGTTTCCTTTTTTTTTTTTTTTTATCAAAATTGTTACTTCACAGTGTATATGATTAAACCAGGGGTCTGTCAATCTTTTCAAATAAAAACAAACACTGTTTAACACGAAGAGATTATTTCGGGAATATCAAATCGTATCGTTACTTATTTTGAATTTTAACTTCACACACATTTATTACCCAA